TTTCCTCTTTTTGTTTTTTCTTCTCCTTTTTCTTTTTTTTTCTTTTCTAGACTATCAGGTCTGTTTCATGTCCTTTCCCATATTATTTTGCAGGTCATTTTTGTTTTCCCGATTCTCTCATGATTTTTCTTATAAACATAAAAATAAATAATAAACACAATATTATTGATATTTGGATCCTTTATCCTTCCCTAATCCTTAATAATCAAATATTCCTACTACTAAATTATTGATGTAATTTGATTAAGAATAAAAGTTATTCTTAATTAAATCATGAACATAAATCTTGGGTAGTTTATTGTCCGATCTAATCGGGAAGCGGCAACAGGGGTTGCACTGCCAGCAGATATGGCGCCGCGGGAGGCGGTGGCGGCGAGGCGGCCACGACAACTTGTTGGGGCTGGGGAGGCGAGCGGAGAAGAAGAAGGGGGTGGGAGGAGGTGGCGGACGCGGCGAGGTAGCTGCCGCCGGCGGTAGCGTCGACGAAGCGGACGTAGCCACTAGGGCGGAGTCCTAGCGAGCGAGGCGGGCCGCCTGCAGTGATTCCTCTTTTACACTGAACTTTGCCGCTCTTTTATGGATAATTAAATATGTTTATATATTTGATTCAAAAATAATATATGTTTATATATTTCTACTTATTTTGCACGACATAAGAAATTTGATAATTTGGCTGGCATTATTCCAAATTGCACTTTTATAGACGGTCAATGTTCTAATGTAATTATTGCTTCATTGCTGATGGATTAAATGCAAAATATACATATCTTTAGTAGCTAAGTAGAGATAAGTTTTGATTTTCTCCTGTTGCAACGCACGGGCTTGTTTCTAGTAACTAGAAATGTGTGGGCAGTCCGAGCCTGACCAACTTTACCCGTTGGATGATTGCGGGATGGATTTTCTGGGCCCAAAACAACTGGACCTTTTCAAGCTCAGTCTGGCCCGGCCCGGTCCGGTCCAAAGTCCAAATAAAATGCACGGGCCGTTGGGTTTGCGATTTTTGGGCTTGGTTGGGTTTGCCGGGCTGGGCTACTGCGACAAGCCTGGTAGCCAGGCGGCTGACAGCAGCAACAGGTAGTGGAGCGGCTTGACTTTGGTGGCTACTGGCAAAGCGCGCGGCGGACGCAGAAGAGGAAGAAGCAGCAGCGGCCAGCGGAGATGCTACCGCTGCCCAATGCTTCAGAAAGGAGTAATCAATCCCGGGATGCCCGATTAGGGGTCACGTCGGGGCCGTCCCATCGCCTGAGGAGAAGAGCAGATAACCACGTCATGATGCGTCCATGCTTGCTCCTGCATGGCTGCACCTCGCACCAGCAGCATCGCCACCGGCCGGATCCCCTCCCCTTATTCCTATGCAAGCCTACGCCTACGCACACCGTCAGCAGCAGCTGGCCTGGCTCCCTAGTGCTAGTGCTGGTGGTAATAGACAGCATTATTGCAACCCGTCAAATCATCCCCTCCTGCCCTGGCCTGGACGCGTCGTGGCCATCCATGCACGCAGCGGCGAATGCACCTGCACCTGCACCTGCATGCTCTGCGTCTCGTCGTCTCTCCTCGCTCTGACGGCCTGACCTGACCCAAATCACGTCGTCTCCATCCATCCATCACTCATCATCACACACACACTACTGCTGCTTGTTTTTTAACCTTAGCTTTCCTTCTTTTGTTAGCTCTTCCACGACGACCTGGCTCCAACTGCATGCATTTGCATGCATGCGTGAAAGAACGAATAAATGGATCTCTGGACGTCCATACTCCATAGCAGATGTATACGCAGATCGATCAGGCTGGCTGCTGCGGGTGCCGGAGCACAGCACTGCGTGTGCACGCACACGCCCTGGCCTCGAGAGATCTCGCGCCAGAGACCAAATCCTCACAGCACTGTGCGAACAGTAGCCTTGGTACACGCACTGTTCATGGCATATACTGATGAGTGTACTGCTACTGTGCTAGTGAATGACTGAAGAAACAAATGCACCAAATACACAGTGGACTAACATTTTGACGGAGTACGTACACATGGGCTGGCTAGAGCCAAGCCAATAAATATTTGAAGCATTTGCCATGGATATATACACGCAAGACATGAGTGCACATAGTGATTGAGAGAGCAACAACCAACAAGTGCAGTAGTCTACACTCTCCTGTTTGTAACATACAGTACATAGCTTTTTCTTCACGATCGTGCCTTAACACATTTTTCATTAAGCAGAAGAGAATACAGCGACACAACTACGAAAGAACCCTCGTAGCGCAGAGTTACAAAGCACCACCAAGGAGGTGGCAAGCAACCTAACAGACCGACCCAATACAATAGAGAAAGAAAAGGCGGTAACACTACTACATAAACGATTTTGCGCAGCGTTGCACTTTTGCACTCCGTGGCGGACACCTATTTTTGCCCGCTGCGGTAAATCACATGATTTACCACGGCGGGTATTTTTTATTTACCGCAGCGGACACTTTTGCCCGCCACGGTAAATCGATTTACCATGGCGGGCACCTTAAGATGTCCGCCATGGAAAATACCATATTTACCGTGGCGGACATCTTAAGGTGCCCGCCACGGTAAATCGATTTACCGTGGCGGGCATTTTATAAAGCCCGCCGCAGTAAATACGGCCCGATCCAGAGCCCAGATTCGGTCCAATTCCGAGGTCACGATATATATACAAGAGCCTAGGGTTTCACTGTGAGTCCTCAGCACCGCACCACACTTCTCTCCCTCGCCCCTGCCCTACCCCTCCTCTCTCGCGCCGCACCACTCTCTCTCCCTTGCCCTACACTCCTCCCGACGGCCCTCCTCCCTCCGCTCCTCTCTCCTCGGCGACGCGCTCCCTCCCTTCCTCTCCTTGGCGGCGCTCGGCTCGGCGGCGAGGCAGGCGGCAGCGCAGGCCTTCGCTCGGCTCGGCCCGGCGCCTGTGGCCTTCAGGCAGGCAGGCGAGCGGTGGCGGCGGCGCGGCAGCGGCGTCTGCGGTGGATCCAGGGCGCCTGGTATGTCTCTCCCTCTCTCTCCCACCCTCTCTCTCCTCTCAGTCCTCCCTCATCTCTCTCTCTCTCTCTCTCTCTCATAGGCGAGGTGCTGCGCGGCGCACGGACGGGCACACGACGGCGGATCCAGGCGGCCGCGTCGACTCCATGCGACGTGGATCCACACGACAGTGGATCTAGGGTGGATGCGTGGATCCAGGCCGGCTGCGTTGACTCCCTACTCCCGCGACGTGGATCCACACGGCGGCGGCATGGATCCATGGCAAGACGGCCCCAACCTGCGGCGTCGGCGCAGATCCGGCGGCGGATCCGGCGAGGAGGAGACCCCGGCGGCAGATCCAGCGAGGTGCGGTGGCTCCAGTATTGGGCTGGGACGAGCTCGTCGATGGGCTTGAGAATGGGCTCGCCGGTGGGTTCCTGGTTTTTTTTGTTTTTTAAACGATTAACCGCGGCGGGCATCCTAACGTGCCCGCCGTGGTAAAAGTATATTTTCCGCGGCAGGCACGTTACACCGCCCGCCGCGGTAAATCGGTTAACCGCGACGGGCAAGGCTGTCCGCCATGGTTAAGCCACGATTTACCGTGGCCTCTAGGCCGCGGCGGACGGCTTTGCCCGCCGCGGAAAACCGAAAACGCCCGTCTCCAGTAAAGTTTGTGTAGTAGTGTAAGAAGAGGACTCTGCCCCTCAAACATACAGAACTTCCCAAGTTCACCCGACTCAGCCTTATAGTATGTATGACCAACAAAAAAAATTAGGAGAGCTAGCCAAGGCAGAAACATCCTAATAGCAGACAACTTTGCAATATCTCACCGGAGACGGATCGGAGAGACGGTCGCTTGCCTGTGTAAAGACTATCCATTCAAAGATGGACTCACTAGCGGAGAGGGGGGGAGCCCCCCACCCCCACCACGGTCCCTACTGTCTCTATTGAAATTTTTTTAATTTGACTAAATTTGAAGAAAATTAGTACTGCTACCTTCCCCACCCTTCTCCAAAAGTACATTAAAAACACATTTTTGGCTCCGCTTTTGTATGGAATTCTTACGAAACACTAGATCAGATAGTCCCATCTACACTTGGTGGAGAAGGGGAAGAGCAAAGATGGACAAACATTTAAGAAGGGATTTTGATGGGTTGGCAATTTATTTCTGGCGGAACATTTGGAACGAACATAGCAGGAATACTTTCCATCAAATTTCAAAAGACCCAGATGGTGTCGCCCAATGGCAGAGCTTCTCATAGGCCAATAGGGGCCATGGCCACCCCTAAAGTTGTGTAAACTTCTCATTAGGGCACAGCAATGTGTGACTCATAAGCTAACTACAAGCATTTTTTTCATATTTTAATACAAGAGAGTGAAAACCTAGCTCTCTGCTAGATTTAGGTTCGAAGCTCTGCCACTGACATCGCCTACTTAATCAAAGAGGTAGTGAAACAATATCATTTAGCCAAATCGGCCTTTTCTTAAAATGTGTGATATCTTTTTCGTCTCTTTTTTCTCCCTTCTATTGTGCTACCTGGGCCCATATGATAGGTGAAGGTTGAGTGTCAGCAAGATGTAAAGTGGTTTGTTGTTGTTGTCCAATTTTATTTATCTTCTAATAAAAGATACCCAAAAATGCAGTAAAACTCTTTGCCGTCCTTTAAAAAAACATGCTTAACGAGACGAAATTGGGACCAGGATATATCATTGCATGCTAAACAAACAGACATCTCGATACATTTTAGCTAGTACCATGCACACTTTGCATGTGGGGATGGATCAACACAGTACGTAGTACAAGCTAAGCACTGTTCTGATGATCCAAATGCATGCATGCAAGTCATAAGCACACATGATTTCATAACAACGACTAATGATGCTACCGAATATAAGATACTATGTCTAATAACTACAAGTGCTTGTCGAAATATGACACTTGGAAACTGACGCTGCAACATTACAGGCCAGGTAAACCGATGGATCATCAGTGTTCAGTAGGGTAACCCTAAGGAACCAACGGTCCGGATCATGCGCCCCTGGGCGCTGCAGCTGGGCCCATCTCATAAAGGAACCCACCACCGTGCTGCAGGTAGGCCTCCAGCCAGGTAGGTGGCGGTGGCGGTGGCTCCTGTGGACCGGCGTTGACCCCGACCTGGGGCGGCGGCGCCAGGGCCGGCTTGCCGGCGACGATGGGGGTGAAGGGAGGGAACGGCGGCGGCATGGGCAGCACGGCGCTGTTGCTGCCGTTTGCCGGCTCTGGCTGCATGCAGGCCGCCGCTGCTCCGGGGAAGACGACCTTGCCATGGTTGCTCGGCGGCAACGGCAATGGAGGCGGCTGCATGCTGGGGTGGCCGTGGTGGAAGGGGATGCAGCCGCTAGGGTTTGGGAGGGGAGGCGCAGTGGGGTCCTGCTGGAAGCAGAAGCTAGAGGGGTCCATTGCCATGGGAAGGTAGTAGGGGCTCTTCACCATCATCAGCTTGCTGTACTGGTCGCCTGCCTTGTGCAGTATCCTGCAGATCACCCATTCCTCCTGCATGTATAAAAAGATTCAGCAAATCATCAGTCAGGAGTAGGAGTATAGACATAGAGTATACTAGTAAAAGATTATTTTCTGTCGATTGTGATCCATATCCAGGGCACAAGATTCATCAATAGTGTATCTGAGAAGGTGATCTCTAGGCATAAAACACAGAGGTAGTACATCAGTGTATATAGTATTTATATTTTTCTGAAATTTCAGAGTATATAAATGTCCTGCTGAATGAACAACTTCTGAAGATGGCACATTTGTTTGTTTTACAAATTAAAAAACGGGAACCCACACGAGCAGCACATTGGATGCTCATGCTACTAGTTTATATTGGGGACATTCTATTCATTGTATTGTACAGCGGAGATTTGGAAGGGAGGCATGTCAGTGTTTGGAGATATGCCAAGTACATCCATGATGCACCCTGATGGCAGTAAGGCACAACACAACGCAAAACAAAACTAGGCCTTGTTTAGCTCCACGGTGTAAAGTCATGTGTCATGACAGGTGTCACATGTGGTGTCATATGGGTGATACTAATAAAAAAAATTACGGAATCCGTCGGTAAACTCGCGAGACGAATTTATTAAGCCTAATTAATCCATCATTAGCACATGTGTTACCGTAGCACTTTATTGTCAGATCATGGACTAATTAGATTTAAAAGATTTGTCTCGCAAAGTTATTTTTTTTAGTTTATATTTAATACTCTATGCATGTGTCAAATATTCGATAGGATAGGGTATAAATTTTTGGGATGAACTAAACAAGGCCATAGAAGCATCAGTAGCTGGGTGGCATGGATCCTCTGTGTCAGTGCAAATAGATTTCGAGCAGAGATAGATGGAACTACTCCTGGCCATGCATGCATGCTGCTGCGGCTGAAGCTGGGCACAAGAACTGTGGTTGTTGTACCAGTGCATTATCATGCTTACACCAGCCAGTATAGTGGCATTGATGAATGCACAGGAGGAGTACTCCTACATAAAGCACACATGTATCAATCTGCATGCATATGTCACCCCAAGCCCTCTCCTTGTACTGCTATGATGCATACGGAGGTATCATGCATGCCACATTCATTGCAGCCAGGATATCTGCGACTCCTACTTCTTGTCAATGATATCACATCTCTACTACTGTCACACTGTTGCGTTTTCACGGCATTCATTCAAAGAAGAATCATTGAAAACAGCACAGAAAACTGAAAAGATCTGCCCTGAAACCTTAAGGAATCCATTCATGCGGCATGGAGTAATATAGCTACTCTAGTTGCGTCGTTTTAGTTTCAGAAACTCGAGAAATGAATCTGCTCTGAACAAATCGGTTTACACATACCTTGCAGGGGCGGCGAGCGGCGGCGAAGTCGCCGTCGAGACGGTACTCGTGGAGGACCCACTTGGTCTTCTCGCCGCGCGGCGCGCGGCCCTTGTAGAAGACGAGCGTCTTCTTCATGCCGAGGAGCGCGCCGGTGGCGGCGTTGAGCACCTCGCGGTCCTTGCCGGTGGCCTTCCAGTATCCGGCGCCGGTGGCGCGGTTGGTGCGGAGGCCCGTGGGGTACTTGCGGTCGCGGAGGCTGAAGAAGTACCACTCGCGCTCCCCCATGCGCGCTGCGTCGGGGAGCTCCCACGGCTCGCACCGGTTGAGGTCCACCTCGGCGATGTCGATGCCGCAGCAGGCGCCGTTGAACACCTTGGCGGCCAGGTAGAAGGTGACCAGCTCCTCGTCGGTGGGGTGGAACCGGAACCCCGGGGGAAGGCCGTGCTCGCCTCCCGCCGCCGCCATCTCCTCCCCGAGCAGGTCCCACAGCTCGTCGCCCATGGCCTGGTGGTCCTGGCGGTGGTGCTGCATACACGGTGCTATGCAGCTAGCCACGTACTGAGAGCGATCTGCTGAGAACGAAGCAGGGAGAGAAGAAGGATCCAAAGGGGGGAAAGAGATTTGCCCGAGAACCCTATATCCTTGCCAACCTCACTCTCACTCTTTTCTTCAAGATGATGAGAAGAAGCTCTGACTCTGAGCTGTGGTAGTGTGGTGTGGTGTGGGGGAAGAAGCCAATGCAAGGGGTGCTCTTTATAGTGGGGAGCTTGCTAGGTAGCACCATGCTCCTACCTCCATGAGGACCATGACCATGAGAGCTCTGCTCTCTCTCTCTCTCTCTCTCTCTCTCTCTCTCTCTCAAAAATGGAAAGGTTAAAGGAGGGCGATGGACATGGTGGCACCTGGCATGGGCCCAATGAGGAAACTTGATGGAGCTTAACGCCTTAACGGGAACTGTTGCACGTCGTAGCAACGTCCTAGCCAAGGGCTGTTTAGATGGCGAAAATTTTTGCAAAATGTACTGTAGCACTTTTCGTTATTTAGTAATTAGTGTTCAATCATAGTCTAATTAGGCTTAAAAGATTCGTCTCGTGAATTTCGTCTAAACTGTGTAATTAGTTTTATTTTTTATTTATATTTAATGCTTCATGCATGCGTCCAAAGATTCGATGTGACGAAGAATCTGAAAAATTTGGCAAAATTTTCTGAAACTAAACCGGACCTAACACCACCGGTTAGTTCCAAGCTATACTAGCTAGCTGCTGCTTCTGTAAAGTCTCAGCTACGCCCTGTGTGCACACAGCATGTACGTACGTTATGCGTGTGAGGAAAGGACGACGACGAGGGAAAACGTACGTACTCTACACACGCATGCACGTTCATTCATCGCCGTGCAATATACGTACGTACATATGTGCATGTGTGATACAACACGTATAGTACAGCCGTCGTGCTTGAACGGGGAGCGTGTACCGGCATATATCTGAACAGACGTATACATGTGTGCGTGCATGCATTCGTATAGGCAGACAGCGACGTATGTATGTTCCGGATATTGAGGGATGCAGGCAGTAGGGTGATGAACATGCATGTACGCAAACTGTTTCCGTTTACTGTGTACTTCCCTTCTTTCCGGGCGCTAGGCTCTGCTCGACTGCCATTATAAGCCGGCTTATACAGCTATGGTATAATATTTTTTTTAACAAATCAACTATATACAAGCGGCTTATAAACCAGCCGAACTTAGTGTCTACTGCTGCTTGCCATGTCGATACTAATTAATAATCCTTCGCGCTCGATTGGGCATGCATACGTACTCCTGTATGCGCTATTTAGCATAGTGGCTCTTCGCCCTATTCGCTTGGCTTATAAGCCGTATTTTTTCAGTCAACGAACAGTATTTTTCTCTCACAACAAATCAGTCAACAGTATTTTCAGTCATGGCTTATCAGCCAAGCGAACATTTGTTCCTCCGTCTTGTGTTTAACTGTTTTAGAGCTACGACAAACAAGACTAAACTGCTTAAGATATTACTATAGGCGTACTCCTATAACCGCTTCTCTTCTCTCTCCTCCACCTCACCATTCAGCCGGCTTACATCCTGCTATTATACTTGCTCTAACACATACCGCTGTACAAGTACGTACTTAACTGCTTAACGTAGCCTAGTAGTAGTAACTATAGGCCTAGTTGTACAAGTACTGCTGCCAAGTTGCATGCACCACCTTTTTGTTTGCACCATGAAAATTTCTGAAACCCCACACACGGCCCATCCCCATTCCACTCACATGCACACGTTCGTGTACGGTGTTACATGGTGTGTCTTGGTGCGTTTGTCTCTGGTTGCGCATTTATTTTGGACTACCAGAAGAAGGAATGGCAGGTCCTGCTGCGGCATGCATCGGGGTTTGGGGGAGGACGGTGGTGCTGGTGGACGCGAGTTTGCACGAGGGCGGCAGTAAATTTCCTCCTGCTGCCGTACGCCGGCCGTGGAATCCCAGTCCTTGCTTTACCATACCAGTTCGATCCCTCTCAAAGTCTCAAGCTGTCAAAACTCAGGGTCCATGCTCCTCCTTTTCACAGCACTCTACTCTCTAGCTCTAGGCCTTGTTTAGTTGGCGAAATTTTTTGGAAAATGGTATCATAGCACTTTCGTTATTATTTGTCAATTACTGTCTAATCATAGTCTAATTAGACTTAAAAGATTCGTCTCGTGAATTTCGTCTAAACTGTGTAATTAGTTTTATTTTTTATTTATATTTAATGCTTCATGTATGCGTCCAAAGATTCGATGTGACAGGGAATCTTGAAAAATTTTGCAAAATTTTGGGAACTAAACAGGCACCTAGTTGGAGTATAGCTGATGGAATGGAGGCAATATGCATCAATGGTCGATCCATCGGTTCTATTCTATGACAATGCATCAATGATCTAGCAGCTCTTGCAGTTGCACATACACTTTAGAATCTCTCCAAGAATGCTTAGAGGCCGTCGGCCGGATCGGAGTGTGTGTTCATGGAATCATGGCGGTCGATCCATGTTGTTATTCTTTTTGATCGAATCATGTCCCTGTTTATACTGTATATACTAGGCCACTGCATGAATGAATGACAAGAGAGAGTGACTAGCCCTGGAATGGTGACAAAAAGGCCTATGCCCTAGAATAGTGTACTAGTCCTAGTCCTCATGCTTACTACGGGTCTGTTCGCTGGTCGGTGCTGATGCTGGTTTGGGCTGACTGGTACTGGTTTTTTTTAGAGAAAAACACTGTTGGCTGGCTGGTTTTGATAGGCTGAAACCAACAAACGAACAGACTATACTACTCCATATAGTACTACTACATTTCGTTTCCATGATCAGACGACGATGCTTCATGCCCGGTTTTGCATGCCAGGGCCCCAAGGGAAGGGACGGAGGAGGAGGTACGCTCCAGCACAAGGGAAACTAGGGCCTTGTTTAGTTTGCAACTTTTTGCAACCGGATGAATAGTACCACTTTCGTCTTATTTGGCAAATATTGTCCAATCATGGACCAACTAGGCTCAAAAGATTCATCTCGTGATTTCCAACTAAACTGTGTAATTAGTTATTTTTTTTACCTACATTTAATACTCCATGCAAGCAGCTAAAAATTGATGTGATGGAGAGAGAGTGAAAAAACTTGGAATTTTGAAGCAAACTAAACAAGGCCTAGGGTGAGGCACTGCGACTCTGTGCCGGGCGGCCGGCCGGGCCGTGTGCCAGTCCACAAAAGTTTGGCGCCCCCGAGGAGGAAGAAGACGACGACGAGGACGACGACCTGATACTGAGAGAGGTTGGAAGAGGCAGAGGGGAAAAGAAAGGTGGCCCCTGCTGCCTGCACCGCGGCCGCCCGGCGCTACTTCCGAGACCGAGTGGGCTAACCTGGAGTAGCTTGGACGACATGCGTGCGTGCTTGTGCGTCCGTTCCTGAATGGTGAATGGTGAAAATATTTTAAGGGCTTTAGCTAAGCTAGGTGCAAAAACAAATGACCTAGTACTGTGTAGGAGAGAGTAGGAGGCAATAATTTGCTAATGCTTGCCCCAATCATTGGCGCATTGCCATTGGCCGTTGCATCGTCACAAACTGGAGTAGGAGTACTCATGGTGGATCGATGGAGCTAGTAGCAAGGTTATGTATAGCTAGGCCATGAACTCCGTAGCATAAACAAACCTAGGCCATGTTTAGTCCCCTAAATTTCTGAATTTGGCACTATGCAAAAAGAAGATTATCCGTCACATCAAACTTGCGGTACATGCATGGAGTACTAAATGTTGACGAGTTTGGTTGTACTTTGCGAGACGAACGTTTTGAGCCTAATTAGTCAACGATTGGACAATTATTACCAAATACAAACGAATACTACAGTGCGCTACAATGTAGCTACAGTGTTTTCGGCGGCGCCGATTCGGGTGAACTAAACATGGCCCTAGTAGTAGTAAAGAATTCAGTGTCCAACTGCGTGGCATTCCTCTCTAGAGAACTGGTACTAGTCACTCCTGCGTGGCAACAAGTACCAGCCAAAGCCTTCCAAACCAAAGGTGCTAAACTTGCATGGCAGAAATTTGCATTGGCAGGTATGCATGCAGTACCCTTTATTTGGTATATAAAAAACTTGCCATATACTATGGCCTTGTTTAGTTGGCGGAATTTTTGGGGAAATGGTACTCTAGTAGTTTGGCAACTGACATGTCACCTAATGAAAACGCTAAAATCAGGCCAAACCTAGGACGTGTTTGGATCACTTGCTTGAGATCGCTACGTAAGAAACCGAAACATACAACATGTTTGGTTTCTTTACTTGTCTGTCTCGTTTCCTGTGCAAGCAGGGTTTTTCTTGCTAGCTTGGGAGATCCAATTTAGCTCGCCTATGCTGGCAAGGCTAATCTTGTGGAGAAAATCCAATGAGCCAACCAAGCATCCACTAGTTCAATGGACTAATGGTGATCTGTGTTTTAGATGGAAAGAAAAAGGGTAGGAACTATCGTGTTCCTACAGAGAGACCGGTTTTTAAAGCATGCGTAACCAAACAGATATAGACGACGACGGTACTACGGTGGCTTCTCCTGTAAGTACAGCCGACCGTGCAAAAGGCAGCGTCCGAACAGGAACAGTAGTGCGCGAAGAAAACCATGGGGCACACGGGCGAGCACGACTGCACGAGCATGCAAGAGAGAAAGAAAGATCGCAGGCGGCCAGCCAGAGAGGCAGACAACGTACTGCAGCTAGCCTGCTGCAGGAGGATGCAGAGCGTATGCAGTGCAAATCAGGCGCGCACTGTTGCTCACTCACTGTTGGCGCTGCTGGCCCGGCGGACGGGCGGAGGAGGACGAGATCCAGCCAGGAACGCGAAGGAAAGCCCATGGCCATGGGGCGCGAGGCCGCGGAGTTTGTTGGGTGCAGTGCGGGGCAGCCTTTAATCCGCCGCGGCGTCGCAGGCGCCAAACTGCCACCACGCCCACCAGGGCCATGCATGGCCCATGGGCGGCGGCAGCAGCAGCAGCCCTAGCAACTACTAGCTGCCCTCTGTGCGTGCTGCGTGAGAGAGAGGCCCCACGTCCGTCGCAGGCTGTGGCTGGCTGCTACGCCTGCAGCAGGTCTCGCAGTTGATGGGCAGCAGGCATGGCCACGTGCGAGAGCGGCGGGCGGAGGTGACGACTCGGGGGCCGCCCGCGGCAGGCCAGGCGAGGGGACGGACGCTCGTGCGCGCGCGCACGCGATCATCCAATCCCACCCTGCTCTACTGCTGCCGCTCCAGCTTTCTCGCCATGCGCTGCGCGCTGCCGCAGTGCCGCGGCGTGCCGCAGCCCATCCCATCCGGCCACGGGCCATCCCGCTCGCCTGCCTCGTCTCTCCCCCCACACATGCCCTGCCCCCGCACAGCACTGCGCGTACGTGCTCCGTGCCTCCGTCCGTCCGTCCTAGCTGCAGCAGCGCTGTGTGCATCCACGTCCACGCACACTTTGCTCGAGCGAGCCTGCCTGCCGCCTGGCGTACTAGAGAGGCCAGGCCAGGGGTTGGACGGCAAGCAAGATCTCCGACTGCGAGTCACCCCGTCACAGTACCTGTACTACGTGTCTGCCGTCCTTAACCTGTAGCGCGCCGCGGCAGTTCCGTGTCCGTGTGGCACCGCTCAGACCACTGCCGGTACTGGTGGCTGGGTTTCCTGCCTTCCGGCCCCGGCCGCCGCCCAAACGCAGCGACGTGCAGCCAGCCTCTGAAGAGCCGGCCGGCCAGCGACCAGCCCGCCACGAGAGCCGGCCACCCAGCAAGCAACCCTGCCATTCGTATGTGCTTTCTTCTTCTTCTTCCCTCTGTTTTCTTTATCTTTCTGTTAAATGTAAAAAAAGTACTGACAGAATCGCAGAACGGATAGGACGACGCCAAATCTTCGTCTTTTCCATTCGAGTCCGTCGCCTAACAACAACACAAGCTAGGTTTACTGCCTGATCAAGTGAGCCCTTGTTTAGTTGGACCTCAAATCCTGCTCCATCAATGTTTGTGGCATGCATGACATTAAATGTAGACGAAAAAAACTAATTGCTTTGGTGGGAAATTGCGACCTAATGATCGAACACTATTTGTCAAATAAAACGATAGTATCCCCAAAATCCAACTTTGGCTAACTAACGCCAGCGCCGATCATCCTGCTGGATGCAGCGATCGAGATCGATCCAACAATCCAAGAGAGAGGCGAATGCGATCGATCATCAAAGCGAGCAGCAGAGAGAGGGCGAGGGTGGGTCTGCGCGTGCGTGGCGCAGCGCAGGTCCTTCGGTTGGTTGGTTACATTCAAGGCTCGGAGAGCTTTTGGTTCGGGATGGAGGGATCGCTGGCGGGGGCTGGCCCAGCCCCAGCTGCGACTCTGTGTCTGGCCGCTCAGGTGGATTGGGGGGAGAGCTGCAGGAAGGGAGGCCGGAGACCTGCCCCTCTGCATGGCGCCCTGCTACGCCTGTCAGAGACTGCAAGTTTGAAGTTTCTTCTCGCATGCATGCATGCGTCAGGGAAGACGTGCGCTCAAAACTTTATTTAAGGAAATTAAGTAGTACTACATAGGATTAAGTGATAGGAAGTGCTAGTAGTATAGTACTAGTATTGTTTGATATCTTCATTTTTATAAGCTTCAGGCTGCCTGCAGTTTGCAGGCAAATCTTCTGTGAACGCCGTCGAGAGTCTGGGAAGTAGCTAGCGCATCTTGCCAAATGGACTACTGCCTACTGCTGTGTTTGTGTGCCACTCACATTCGTTTCATGTGGCAACCCGAACACCTCAAAAAACGAACCCCTTTTTATTCCTTTTAAAAAATAAAACATGGTGAAATTCGTCTTTATGTTTCATGTGGCGTGATAGAGTACGTCCTGATTTTTATTTGACAAATGACACGGACAGTTTGTACTTGATTTATATTACGGAGCGACCAGTGCCCGTCAAGACGTAGCGCCTGTGCGGACACTGCTCCCGTGCCCGCGCCGGACGCACGATCAGACCCGCGCTCAATGCACGCCCGGACCCGCGCCCATGCGGATGGAGCTTCCCACGCCTACGCCCGATGCACGTAGAATGGAGGCCCGCGTCCCATCCCCCTCAATGCTCCGCGCCCTCTCCTATCGCACTCCACACCCGGACATCCTCCGCGGCATCCTGTCCCCACCGCTCTCGTGTCCGCGGCCTCCATCTTCACCACACCAGGGAGCCGCAACTAACTGGACCACCGAGGGCTGAGGCTTCCTCCACACCTAAGATCTACTTTTGCAATACTTAGATAAAACAACTATAACATACGTCTAAAACAAATAAAACATTCGGAACATACACTTGCAACATAGCTATTTGCAATATATGTAATATCTAGATAAAACACTTGCAACATACGTCTGAAAACAGATAAAACACTTCAAACACGCTCTTGAAACATGCGTGTATTGCCATAGCAATATATGTAACATCTATATCTACTTTTGCAACATCCAGATGAAACACTAACATAAATCTAAAAACATCCGAAACGTTTAATACATACGTACAGCCATAGCAACATATGCAACATCGAGATGAAACACTTCAAACATACGTCTAAAACAAACACTTGAAACATAGGCTTGCAACATATTTGAGAACACCTGAAACACTTAAAATACAGCGTCGCCGGCGGTCACGGCCTACCTGATGGGAAACTACGGTGGCGCAGGCCTCCCCTGTCACCCCTTCCGCGACAGGCGAGGTGGATGAGGGTGTGGGCACGAGCAAGCAACGGCGCGTGGGTAGGCAAGGCACAGGGCCCAACGGCACATGCGACGTGGGCGGGGCGCACAGAGCGGTCTGTCCGGACGGGATGGACGCCCGTGGCATGTCATTATTGTTTATATGAATAAGAAGAAAATAAGAAGCAGTGTACAAAAGACCATGCTGAAAAATAAATTGCAATATAATTTGACAAAATGTCTTCTGATCCACCACATCTACCGCAAATCATGCTGGTTTATAAAGTGTACATGCCCGTCTATAGAACCACTGCATAAAAACATTGGAGAGGACATGCCCAGAGCCGCTGGGAGCCCAACCAAGATATGCTCATGTGCCACCATTCATCTACACAACTACAAACATTATAAGTCCACCACCAATACCAGATGGGCCAAAGAGCCAAGGAATTGTTATTCGAAATAACGTCGTCATTAGCAAGTTTTTGGTAGTCCTCTAGATTTTTCTGGATGATTTTTTTTCTTCTCATTTCCCTAGATCTAAATACATTTATTTCTAAAGCTTCTAGATATATTTTCACGAGCTCTAAATATTTTACTTGGATTCTTCATATCCCAACCTATTTATATAATTTTTGTTGAAAGTTTTATATGGTTAGAGACACTTTCAATGGTTAGAAACCTTCAAGTATATTTACCAATTTTTTTAACCTAATAAAAGGAGAGAAAGCTTCCTTTAAAACCACTTAAAAACCGGGCACGGAGGTAATTTGAACGGTTTTAGACTTCAGAGGTTTTAGAGTTTGTGATGAGGACAAAAATCCTAGTACGATGATAGTTGAGGGAAGTAAAATGTATGTTTTCGTCTTTTCGAGACTTAACGTTGGACTGTCAGTTGCGCCTGCCTAAATTACAGTAGTGGGCCTATTTCTCCACAGCTGGGCTACTGTGAGGGTCGTCAAAACGGCAGAAAAGCGACCTATTCTGGATTGTCAATTGTGGCCTCTCCCAACCGGTGGAACGGCCCGTGTCCTCGGCTGGCCCCCCTCCAGGCCTCCATTCCACGTGCTGACGTGCGTGGCCACGTCGGCGAGGTCGCGTGCCACCATCCCTCCGCGGTCCGCGGCCTCCGCACTGTCGGGCGGGCGTCCGGTTGCTGTCTCGGCACCGATCTGGCCGGACCGAGACGGGGGGCGGTGGTAGCTGTAGCCCTGTAGCTGCCATGTCGCGCTCCCGCCGCTGCAGCGAAAGGGACACTGAAGCCGAAGCAGATCTGAATCTGAACCTGCACCTGCACCTGCACCTCACGAGTCACGAGAGGACGGATGCTGAGAGGAAGAAGAAGAAGAATCTTCTCTGCTCTGCTCTGATCATCTCGACTGCGTCGGTGCTTCAGATCTCACAGATGCTTGCCGCGGTTCCATTGCTCTGGACCGCGTCGAAATGAATTACGACAGATCATTTTCATTTGCCTGCCCGTGGATCGGATCGGACCGGATCCGTGGCGTGTTCTTCATTCAAGGAGCAAGACTGAAGCAAAGCGGCAGCGACGGCCAAAAACAACGAAAGAACACTAGTTACATGTTCGTGGTCTCCTGCTCGCGGCAACGATCGATCATCTTTTTTTTTCCCGAGATCGACCGATGCCATCATACACAACATCACCATACTGCAATTTAATACTATACTATGCCCCTGTTCGCTCCGAGGAATTTGAAGACTATACTATGTCCCCGTTTGCTTGAAAAAATTTAGAGGAATCTGGAGAAATTTGTGAGAGTAAAACACTGTTCCGGATAAAAAAATTCTTAATAAAAAAAGAAGCAGATCAAAGCTAGATTTGAGAGCACGCGAGGGCCTATATGGATTCCATGTACACCACCACAAAATCATCAATTGCTTTATTGCGGCAGCTCGATCGATCACGGCAAGCAAAGCAACAACAATGCCGTGGGTGGCGGATCCGCCCGCCATGGCTGTCCCACCTCCTCCTCGATGGCTCGACATCACGCCTCGCCGTCGTCGAAGTTCTGCTTGTAGCTGATGGAGTCGTACCCGAAGTCCTGCGGCTCGGCGGCCTTGAGCGGCCGTCCGTCGCGCCCCAGCAGTCGCCGCGCCCCGGCGCGGAGCCTAAACAGGACGTGCCGCCACCCACCGCCGGCGCAGCGGCACCTGCCGCCCAGCGGCCGCGCCTCATCGTCGTCGACCTCCAGCCCGCGAGGTGCGAACGGCGCGGTCACCCAGCCGAGCCCCCACTCCCACCACCACCGCAGCGCGCCCGCCGCCGCCAGCGCCTTCACGGAGGGCATCGACCGCGCGCGCCGGAACGCCGCCACCGACGACGACAGCGACAGCGACGGCGGCGGCCTCACGTGCACCGAGAACGAGGACATGCGCCGCCGCATCCCGATCCCGCCGCCGCCCGCCTTGGTTCCCGCGGCGCCGGGCGTGGTCACTGGGAGCTGCTCGTCCTCGCTCCGCCGCGGCTTGATCGTCTCAAGGATCGCGTCGGTCGCCATTGCGCCTCGACGACCACCGCGGCGTGGATCAGGGGGACAGGGGGAGAGATCTTGGACGCGGAGGTTGGCCCTGGTTGGTAGGCGAAGGGGTGAACTGCTGGCTTCTCAGCTCTGCCTGGGAATACTGGGTGACTGAAGAGCTACTACACGTGTAGATATTTTTGTATTTTGGTCCCTTTTGAAAATATTTTTTACAAAAAGGCCTACGTCAAAACGTTTTCTAAAAATAGATCATTTTTAGGCGTCTTAGAACATGACGTCGAGGTATGAGGGTCGGCGTCGCGTCGACTGACACGACGCCGAGGTATTGCCACGTCACGGACGACCCCGGTCGACGGCTACACGGTGGCGCGTGGGGTCCAAGACGTCGGCGTCCTGTCAGCCCACGCCACGGGCCCAACCTCGGCGCTGGCCGGATCGAAAGCGCCGAGCTATAGGCACCATCCGGCTAGCCCCAAGCGGCCCAACAACGCATCGTGGCCCAAGAGGCTCGGCGTGGTCACTTAACGCCGAGCCACTGCAGACCGGCGGCGGCCCGACTCAACGCCGAGGTCTCGGTCCCTTGAGGCCGCCGAGGCCCCTTCTTCTTCCTCCTCCATTCTCAAACCGCCGGCTCTCTCTCTCTCTTTTTCCCCACGCCGCCACCAAACCCCTAGCCTCCAAAATCGACCCTAGGTGCCACGATCTCGGCTCCCGAAGCTTCCTCGAGGTAATGGTCCCTCCCCTCCTCCAATCTATCCGCGTAGATGTGCTTGCATTGTCCCTAATCATGTGGAATCATGGGTGTATGGTGTTTTGGTATATTTATGTTTGTATTTGCAAAATATATGGCTTAGGATGATTGAGTGTATTGTTGTTTAACTGTTTTATGTGGTGAGCATGTTAGGTTAGTTTGGTTTCTAGTTATTTTGGTCATTAGGGTTCTTTGTTTATTGTAGGTGTCATTAGGGTTAGTTATTTGTTGGTCATTAGGGTTAGTATGTATTTTATTTATTTGTTGGTCATTACATTTCAATTTTTTATGACTAGAAATGATTATATTGTTGGGGTTGAAAAAGATGAAATGATATATTTTAGTTTCTACTTATTGGATTGAAACTCGCATGATATATTGATATGTGACACTACTTGTTGTGTGATGGCTGTAGATGGATAAATTAGTGAGGTTGCATCATGGAGGCCGTATTGTTAGGACAAGAGATGATAGTTTGAAATTTCTGGACATGTGTGAGGAGTTGTTGATTTTTTCTAAAACACCATCTTTGACCCAGTTAGTGGAGCGAGCGAAGGTTAAGTTAGGCTGGAATGAAGGAGAAGTGCATGTTCAGTTTGAAGGTGTCATAGATGTTGGGTCGTCGAAGGGTCCTCGGATCAAGCGGTTGCTCAAAATTACTAGCGAGTCTGAATGGAATGATTACAAGGCAGTTGTATTGGCCTCAGAAGTGCGATCTTTGGATTTAGTAGTAAGTAAGGAGTTTGGCTTAGGAAATGATAGCTTCGAAGCATGCCCATCTTCCTCCGCTCACGTAGGTTATGGTCCTTTGTCTGAGGAAGAAATACTTGTCACACAACTAGGCTACGGTGGAGATGAGGAGAATCCGGTTGCCGATGGTGAGGGCAATCATGATAGTTATGAAGAGGATGATGGTTATGTAATTGGTGATGCAGAAGAAGGTTTGGACGACGCTAGCGGAGACTTTTCTATTGAGGATGAGCTTAGCGACGAAGATGATCTTAGTGGTGAAGAAGACTTTGGTGATGCTAGGGCTACGAACCGTTTTGACATGGAGATAGCTGGAGATGATGAATCATTCGTAGGGGAGATAGCCGAAGACTCTGATGACGATCGGCCTGTTGGTCGTCTCAATTTTAGGGAAATAGAGATATTGTCTAGGGTCTTGCCTTGGAGAGATCCACTAGTTGGTGATTTCGAGGACCTTAGCCATGGTCGCAGGGCAGTAGCTGATGGTGGGCCAAGTGATACAACAGTGCCTGATGTTAGCGGTTGGCTCATCATACGGAAGGGCATATTGTTTGCTACCATGGATGAGTTGAAATCATGGTTGCAAGAGTACTCCATTGTACACAACCGACGTTTTAGGGTCATCAATTCATTCAAGGAGAAGAGGTACACTGTTGCTTGTGAAGAACAACAGTGTGGTTGGAGAGTATGTGCTAGGAAGATGAAGGCAGACAAATGGAAGATTACCTCAGTGAAGCAACCACATGTTTGTGCCACTGCTGAGGCAGAAGAGAACCACCTGTAGCTCAATTCTATGTTCATTGCAAGGTAGTTATGCCCCGTGGTGAAGCATATGCCAACCATTACGGTGTCCGCGTTGGTTGAGATCATCTTCCAACGGTACAATTACTATGTCAAGTATGGAAAAGCATGGAGGGCAAAGCAGCGTGCACGGGAAATAATATTTGGAAATTGGGAAGAAGCTTATGAGCGCCTCCCTGTAATGTTGAACGCAATGAGGGCTGTAAATCCTAGGATGCACTTCGAGTATTTACCTAAGGATGGTGAAATAAGGAATGGTAGCCAGATATTTGGAAGGGCCTTTTGGGCGTTTGGGCAGAGCATCGAAGCATTCAAGCATTGCAGGCCCGTCGTCTCAATTGACGGGACCTTTCTTATAGGGAAATTTGAAGGCACAATGCTTATTTGTATTGGGACAGATGCAGAAGACTAGCTTGTGCCATTGGCCTTTGCGATTGTTCGGAAGGAGGACACAGATAGTTGGTGTTGGTTTCTCAGGCTAGTAAGACAAGTGGTAATTGGTCTGGGACGTGATGTTTGTGTGATATCCGATAGGCATGCTGGCATTCTGAATGCCGTAGAACAAGAGATTCCTGGTTACGGCCAAATACATCACCGGTGGTGCACTAGACACATTGCTCAGAATCTTATAAGGCGTGATCACACAAAGGACAACTTCAAATTATTTGAGGAGGTTTGCAGGCAGCAAGAGGTTCAATTATTCAAAGACAAGCTAGATGCCCTGAAGTTAGCCACAAATGTTGATGGCAGGCAATTCTTGAGCGAGTTGATAGCGTCGAAGGATAAGTGGTCACTTGCATATGACACCGGAGGTTGGAGATGGGGCTTCATGACTAGTAACATGGCAGAGATGTTCAATAGCCATCTAAGAGGTTGTCGTGGTCTGCCTGTGACTACTATTGCCTCATTCACCTTCTACAAGTTGAATGCTTGGTTCGTTTCGAGGAAGAAGCATGCGAGGTCTCTATGGACAACAGGCAAAGCTTGGCCACTATTAGCATCTAAGGAACTAGCTTTCTCAAAGAAAAAGTCTAAACGACAGAAGGGTTCATGTTTTGATCCAATCAACCATGGATATGAGATTCTATAGGGTGGTGGAACTAACATTGGTGGTGAAGATCGGGGTGCTCGAAAACATAAAGTAGTGATCAACGAGAACAAGTGTACATGTGGAAAACTGACCATATACCATAGGCCTTGCTCCCACATGATTACAGCCTGTTGCCTTAGACGTGTTGACGCTGAGGTCCCTCCCCGTATGGCCGCGGATTTCTCTTTGAGGAACCTAATGAGCACCTGGAATCCTCAATTCGAGCCATTTCTTGACGAGAGTCAATGGCCTACTTATGATGGCCCCAAGTATCTGGAAGAGTAGAGGACCTTGGCGGCGGAAGCGGTTCAGGATGGACATGGACCGAGCCACGAAAGGTAGATCAACCACGAGTAAGGTTGGGAGACATTTTGTAGAGGACACCCAAAAGAGTCGTTGCTCTGGTTGCCATAAGACGGGCCACAATAAGAGAAAATGTCTTGAACTTCTTAGACAACAGGTATCCACCAAGCTAGCTACTGGAATGCTTTGTGTAATAGTGCATTGGTTTACTTTTGTTTTTTTATTGTAATGTTACTCCGTACCACATATACATGCTTTTACTTATACTAATGCTTTGGCATTTCTTATGTTGCAGGATCGATCGGTTCCCCCTTCTTGATCCAAGGTTCGATGAGCACCACCGGGCTCGGAGGATCGAGAACGGAGAGGTATATTCAATAATTCATATGAAACAGTGCATTGTTCATCTTTTGCTCTATATTCCATGCTCTTTATAAAGTGACATGAACTAATACTTTTTTATGCTTGTCTTTTTTTGCAGGTTTTGAATGTGCTGAGGCCAATGACACATGAGGCCTCTATGACCATGGTCTACGACGAGAGGTACACGCCCCTCCTGAAGCTGGCGAACCTTGCTACTGTTGCTCGTGTTTGTCGTCGAGGCACGCCACCTTTCAACCCAGCGGCGCTGACGGCATTGATAGATCGGTGGCGTCCGGAGACACATAGCTTTCACCTACCATGCGGGGAGATGACGGTCACTCTCGAGGACGATGCCATGATCCTTGGAGTCAAAATCCGAGGATTCCCAGTGACAGGAGACACGGAGTCTGAAGGATGGCAGCAGCGGGTTGAGCACTTTTTGGGATGTCCCCTAGCGGTAGTTGAGGCTGGAAAGAAATGGCGCAGCAGTGGGGTGTCCCTGAGGTGGCTTCGTCAGCAGTTTTGGGAGTGCCCACCTAACGTAGACGCCCAGACCATGACATACTACTGCTGTGCCCACGCCCCGCACATGTTTGCTACGGTTCTCTTCCCGATGGCACTAGAGACACGGCGTCCTGGATGTACATCCCGTGCCTTTGGAACTGGGAGGATGCCGGCAATAGGAGTTGGGGCTCGGCTATACTTGCTTTCTTGTACCGTCAGCTTTGCGAGGCTTGCCGCCGTCCTGGAGGCGCGCACGCTACAATGTCATGGTGCATCACATCACATCGAGTAATAAAGCAAAGTTGTACAAGTTTCCACTACAATTCAATGTTTTTCTTAACAAAAGTGATTAACATTCAAGTTTCCACTCTTTTTGTAGATTTGGATGTGGGAGAGGCTTCCGGTTGGGAGACCACATTAGCTTGATCCCCACAACCTTGGTTTCCTCAAGGAGAC